ACAATGATTAAAAATTTAAAATTAAAAAACGCTTTTTTACGCCTAAGATTCGCCTATGCCCGCCTAGGCTCTTAAAGCTTGAAACTTAGCCTCCACGCCTAGCCACGCTTTACGTTTTTTAGAACACTGGATTGAAGTCATACTACGAGCCTTTTAACCAAACCAGGGGAGTGAGTAAAAATTCCACTTAAAAAACCACTGGAGGCATTACACAAATTAACCAAACCATCAATTTCAACTAAAAGTCCAATAAACATGTAAAATAAAGCAATTACCCAAATTACTAATATTGTGGGTGTACCCACCTCGAAGAGGACTCGAGCAAGCTGCTAGTGTTAACATTCCATTGTCAACCTCGATGCCCACCCTCATCTGGACTTGGCTATTGACGGAGCAGGTGAGGTTGACCCTGAATCTTGATCGCGATGGGGCCTTTTCGCCCGAGAAGATGGTCGAGGACGCCTCGGATAAGTTTGTGGTGGATGATTCGAAGCTGGTGGATGGTCTTGGTAGGTCGGGCCTGGCAATGCTTGTGGAAGTAGTGAATTCCGTTGGAAGCACAATTTGGCAAGGCTGCAGAAATTATTCAAGGAAGAATGGTGCGAAGCGAAGCTGATAATCTCAACACAGATCACGATATCTACCTTGTTTCTCCTTTCTCTCAACACAGATCACGATTAGGGTTGATTCGGTGTGTTTGCTCTATCTCGTTTCATCTTTCTCTCAACACATAAAAATGCTTCTCTCATAAACACAGAACACAGGAAATTTACACGGGGATTAGGGTTGATTTGGGCCGGTTGGATGTGGGCTATTTGGTTGGATCTTTATTGGCGGGTTGGGTTATATATTGCAACAGGCTATGAATGTTGCGAAAGATAAAATACAAATTATTTTTAACAATAGTCATGCATGTTGCCAAAAACTTAAAAAATGATTTTTAACAACAAACGGAGAACGTTGCAAAAAAACCTCACATTTAACAACAATTATTGAACGTTGCAAAATAGAGTTTCCGCAACGGTCATTGTCCGTTGCCAAAATTGACATTTCACAACACGCAATGACCGTTGCAAAAGGTTGGGCTTTCAACAAGGGTCGATGAACGTTGCAAAAGACCTAAAATATATAATTGTTTTGGCAACGGTCAATTGAACGTTGCAAAAGGAGACAATGGCAACATTCATTAAAATGTTGTTGCAATATCTCAATTTTGTTAAGTAATGTCAACATACATTTACTGAGTGTTGCAATTAACCCCTTTTAACAACAATCACTTAATGAATGTTGCCTTTTGCATGTTGCAAAAGGCAATTTTTGTTGTAGTGACGGAAATTGAACAATTAGTAAATATGGTCTCATTAAGGAGGCATGTACTTTTGATAACTACTTAGATAATAAATTATAAAATCCAAGAAGAGATTCAGGTGCATGATATGTTGAAAATTGAGATATTTCAATAAGTTATGTCATTATAGAAAATAAATATAATCGAAAAGAAAAAGTTGTAGACAACATTTTTGCACTTGATGTATTCCATCATATTATGAATGGCGAAGAATCGAAATAAATTCGTCGAAATATATCGATCGAAATAATGATTCTCCAAATAAAACGACGCGATTATATTAAATTTGAATTTACTAGAGAAACTTGAAATTGATAGACGCGATCTTAGTAAAATTGAACTTATTAGAGAAACCTGGAGTTTCTGGATCTATACCCCCGAACACCTAAAGGTGTATGTATACTTATACGAAATAAAAATAGAAAAAATAAAATCGTAATGTGAAATGTACGACTCTTTACATAATGAGTTTCGTGAAGACTTGTATAAAGAGATAACTTATCATGTGTGGGATGTAATCACAAGTTTCTACCCTGTTAGCATGACAATACATGAATTTGATATAAATATAATAAATATGATTGTAGTCAATTTATCTTATATAAATTTAATACTATCACCAAAAGATTTAATATGTTTGAAACATATTTCAAGTGACACTATTATGAGGGGGAATGAATATGCATTGTACTCTTTTTTCCTTGACCGAGATTTTGTTCCATTGGATTTTCCTGAGAATGTCTTTAATGAGACAACTTTTGTAACGTATTAAAAAAATAAATGTACTATTTTTCCTTCATTAGGATTTTTTCACAAGATTTTTTCTAATAGGGTTTTAACGAGACATATTTTTTGTGTAGTGAATGTTCATAACCTAAAAGACATTTACTCTCAAAATAATACTATGAACTTTTGAAGATATCAACAAAAGCTATTTTCTGAATCATTAGACCACTACAGTTATCAAAGGTTGATAAATATCTCAAATGAAGACGGTGTTATCTGAAAACATTGACATACAACTATACAAGACAATAATGAATTGATACAAGAATTGAAATTAGGGGAGCAGTTGTACTATTTTTCCTTAGCTCAATTTTGTCCCATTGAATTTCTTGACAAAGTTTTAAGGAGGTAGATATTTTGTGACGTGTCATTGAAGGGGGGTGTTGTAAATAATATGATTATTAGTGAATGTCAATTACACCCATACAACCCTAGTTTTTATTAACATTGTACTATAATTCTTCCCTATAAATATGGAGGCTTGGTTCTTAATGAAACACACATTTTCTCTTTTCTTTCTAGTTTATAACAAGCAACTAAACTTAATTACACATTTTATGAGATCCAAAATTTTTCAATCATACATTTTATCAATTTTTATCAAAATATATTAAAAATCTTATTTTAATCCCGGCAAACAAGGGCATAATTTCGACTACATTGCATGCACCATCTCCAACTTATATCTTATTTATGGTATTTGTACTTCTCAGTGTTCTCTCTTTATTGACAATTTCCATTCAAAAACCATAGAACTGATGTGAAAAGACAAATTTGTCTTCTCAATTAAATAAAAAATAAAGTCACTAAATAAACAGAAAAGATTAAGCTGAAGTGACAACATCACCCCAGATCTCTAATCCGTCAATTCAGTGATTCACTAAGGGTGTGTTTGATAGCCTAGAAAATNTAGGTACAACCATTTTATGCACATTTTCTTGAATTTGTTTTCCCACCTATTAGGTGGGAAAGTAATTTTTATCTTTTTTTTTTTTTTTTAGCAATGGCAACAAATTCTATCAACTATTGCAAAAAGAATTTTCACTTTTGTTGACAATTTCTATGCAAAACAAAGTCAAACGAATATGGTAATTTTTTCTAATTGTTTAAATTTTTTTTTTTTACTTTTTGGTAATTGGAATAAATTCTAGACGCAATGGTAGAAAAAATTATCACTTTAATGGACAATTTCCATAAAAAATAAAGTCAAACGGACACCAAACTTTCAACATTTTCCAGGTGGAACATTATACCAATCAAACACAATTAATTACAATTCTCAATAAAACAATTTCTAGGCAATTCAATTCCCAGTAAAACATTTTCTTTCCACATTTGCAATCAAACGGACCCTAAATAAACAGAAAAGATTAAGCTGAAGTGAAAACAATTGATATGGACTACTTGCACCTAAACCTTGAAGGTTGGGGTGAAAATGTTTAGAAAAAAAGTGGGAGACTCTGTATGCAATGTCGAAAATAATTATTGGTAAGAAAGGCAATATTAGAAGATTCAGTTTAAAAGAGCAAAGGGGTTTAGGGTTTTTTCTCAAAATCCAGAGGCACGAGTGTGTGTTAGAGAAATAAGAAAAAGGTAGACCATGGATTCATTCTCCTCGCCGTCTGTTGGATCGTCGCCAAAATTCTCAACTGAGGATTTGATGGGTCAGCTTAAAGTACAGCTTGCCCAGGCTTACGCTGAGGAATTCCTTGAGGTATTGTATATTTTATAGTGTGTACATTTACCATTACTAGACCTCTATCTATGTCGAAGGGTTTTCAAATTGTAGCAGTCCTCTTATTTATCAGATGTCCCTTTTTAACTTCTATTTTTCTGTCTTTTTCTTGTAAGTCTCTCTGTTCTTTTGGGCCTTCCGTTTGTTTATGTCTTTTGGAAGTAATGTGTCATAGACAAAATATAAAGCAATGTTTTAGCATTTGATGCATGTCATGACTAATTTAAATATTTCCTAGGAATACAATCTTGTAGAACCAACTGAGATTAATTTGGGTTTGATTCTGGAAAATGAAGTGAAGGCATTGCATCTGGTCACAGAATGAGGAGATCTTGTGGGTTTAGGGCCTAGACCTTACATTTTTATCTGTTCACTGGCTAGATGATGGATTGAATGGAGAACAATATGGCTGCTTCGGGTAGAACGTGGGCGTGACAACACACTACTACCCTTGCAGAAATAAGTCTTGCATATAAAGGTGGAAGAATTAAAGCTTCTGGACTTTGTTGAGAGTAGAGTAGTTAACTTGGATTAGGCTTGAGATTGACCTATCCAGTTATAGAGCTTAACTTTAGTTTGAGTGAATCTGAATTTGAATGTAGACTTTATTGAAACTTGATAACACGTTCTAATAATAACATCTGTCAATCCTAATAGGTTTTAATATGTGAAAACTATTTTTCACGATAAAACTACACTTGTAACATTCTTTTATCCTATCAATTGGTAAAAAAATAAAAAATAAAATAAATAAATAAATATTTGATGAGAAAAGATCTATTCATTTGCTTAATTACACAAGTATGACTAATGTGGATTGGGTTAGGATTACCCAGGAAGGAATCTATGGACTCTGTGTTTAGGAAAAATGGGTTTAACTGATACAAAGTATCATCAACATTGTTGACTTGAGATACCACAAACTGGTTAGCAACTAGAAAAACCAAATTTAAGCTAAAATGAAGCTAATTACCTATTTCATCATTTTCAGGAAGTGTTGCTGCAGTGTGGTGTCTCATTATGTGCCAAACAATAACAATCACCACGTAAATTAGACCATTCAACTTCTTGTTTCAATAAATTATACAATCTGAGATCTTTAACAAAGTTAAGTAGAACTATATTCACAAAGAGCCAAATTTGTTTACTTGTTTGTGAGCATGTTAACTATGTGCACTATATCGACCATTTTCCTACAATTTCCCGAAGTGTAGCTACTTCCAGTTCAGACTATCCATCGATTGTATTGATCAGAAAAACTATACAATAGGCTTTTTTCATTTTTAATTTAAATTTATTATGATGAGCTACATTCATCTGGCATCGAAAGGGGTGCAGATATATACATGTGTGTGTGTGTATTTTAGAGTTGATGCAAATGGTTCAGGAATGATTATCTGTAACGGTAGATATTGTCTGCTAAGAACCATTTGTGACATGATAGGGACATGCAAATTATGTGCTTCCTACAGTGGATTAATTATTGGTTTTTCTTCAATGCTCATGCAGACCGTGCGAGGAAAGTGCTTTGAGAAGTGCATCACCAAACCTGGCAGTAGCCTAAGTGGGAGTGAGAGCAGTTGTATCTCCAGGTGTGTGGATCGTTATATTGAAGCCACTGGTATCATTGGCAGGGCCCTCTTTAATGCACAGCGCTGAAAGCAGCTAATACCAGATAATTGAAGAACTTTATGGTCTAAGGGATTCCTGGAGAATCGAGAATCAAAAGTATGAGTAGTAGGCTTGGAATCATGATCCTTTTGATAATTTTTGATTGATGATATATGAATAACTATGAACTTCAAAGGTTGGCCACAAACAATTTGCCTCATAGGTTGGTTAATTTTTGATAGGTTTTATGGAGTTATGGATATTTTTTTCATAAATGTGTTTTTCGTACCTGCTTGTGAGAATGGTTTCTCGGTTAGATTTCTCAGTGGCTTGATTCCCATCCCCTCCCCTCCCCCATCCTAGGGTCTCTACTTGCACTGTAGGATGGGTGTTGTCTTATTCTATTTTACCCGACCTTCTGATTTGAAAAGGAAAAGACGTACTGTTTTACGTTCATTTAGATGGCATTTTTTTGAGCCGCAGTATATTAACTAGGGCACTTCCTGCATTTAGTTTCTGTTTTTTCTGCCCTCTCAATTCAGCGTAGAGTCCATCCCCATTCTCAAATGCTTGTTATTGAGACTGTTTGCAGCTGATTATCTTACCCAAACAGTTTCAACATCCAAACATAGTTAATGTAGTGATGGCAATCGAGCCGAGCGGCTCGTCGGCTCGGCCGCTCGGCTCGTACTGTAGCGATCCACGCGCCGCTCGGGCTCGTCAAAAG